TGTTTCTCTCTCTGTCTCTTCCTCTCTCTCCTTCCTACTCTATCTGAACAAAAATGGAAAAATGTCCTCGGGTGAGGATAAAAACAAAAACAAAACAACAAAGAAATATTTATTAACAGAAGAATCAACTAGAGCTACTGTTTCTCTGACAGCAAGCCATAAATATCTTCAATTATAGCACAAAATATACCATGTTAATAATAAGTTTTCATCAGTAGATTATAAATTAATTATTTAAAGGTAAGAACTATCACAATATCCACCATGGTATCTGATAATTGATTACTATATGTTTCAGGATGAATAATTAAAGATTCTAAACAGATGACATCACTAGATGTAAACATATAGTATTTTGTATGAAAGACTAATGGTCAGTGTTTTCATTTAGAGATTTATATTACATGGCTTAACTAAGGTTACAAGGCTTTATAAGAAGGGGCTTCAGGCCCTGGCCAGTGTGGCTCAGTTGGTTGAGCATTGTCCTGTGCACTGAAAGGTTACTGTTTGAATCCTGGTCAGGGCACTTACCTGGGTTGTGGGTTCTATCCCCGTGTATGGGAGGCAACCAATTGATGTCTCTCTCCCTCTCCCTCTCCCTCTCCCTCTCCCTCTCCCTCTCCCTCTCCCTCTCCCTCTCCCTCTCCCTCTCTCTCTCCCTCTCTCCCCTCTCTCTAAAATCAGCAAAACATATCCTCAAGTGAGGATTAAAAAAACCCAACAGAATGGGGGTTCAAATCATTACATTGGTCCATATATTTAGAAAGCCCATTAGCAATCTGTGGTTATGGCCCAGTATTACCAGCTTTGACTAGGGAAAACTTTTACTTAGAATAATAAAACTTCTGAGACATACTGATAATAAAAACTATGTGACAACAATTGATCAAGTTAATTGATTACTATATGTTTCTAGGATGAATAATTAAAGATTCTAAACAAATGGCATCACTAGATGTAAACATATAGTATTTTGTATGAAAGACTAATGGTCAGTGTTTTCATTTAGAGATTTATATTACATGGCTTATCTAAGGTTACAAGGCTTTATATGAAGGAGCTTCAGGCCCCTTTACATTACAAAGAACATCCATGTATTAACAAGTAAAAAGAATCCTGTTTATGGAAATGCCTCCTCTTCTGACCACCACAAATACCTCTTAATGTTCCTGTTTCTTCGCATGCACGCAGAGGCTCGTACGTGCTTCCTTCCATATGAACACAAGATAAAGAGAGTGGTATGTGCTAATTTCAGATTTTTTTTTAAAGCAAAGATCTAGTGGACAAGGTTCAAGTATCATAAGGTTTATATTAAGGAGCATTATTTGGAGAAATTTGTTTTGGAGGCTTTCTGGGTGATTTTTAAAATTCATAAGGTATTAACAGATTTTCAATATTAAATTTATATTGAAAGTTAGGCTACAGAAGAGTTAATGAAATTATATAATAGATAAGCTTTCCACTCATTAAAAATGTAAAAGTATTTTAAAGCATGTATTAATGCTCTAAACGGAAATGTAAAGAAGAAAAGTATCGACTGGTCTCATTACCGAAGGAGGGGACAGAAACACAGATCACAGGTGACAGCGCGCTTCCAAGTGGACTAAAGTGTGTGGGGACTGGATTTTTCTAATCCTGTCTGAGAAGAGGCAATCTGGACATGACCCTTTTCATAAGGCTTGGTCTTTTTAGGGAAGGTTCGAATAAATGTGGTTGTTTGTCCAGGGGCTTGTAAAAATTGAAAGAAAGCCCGGCCAGTGTGGCTAGTGGTTGAGCACTGACCCAGGCACCAAGATTTCACTGGTTTGATTCCCAGTCAGGACACATGCCCAGGTTGTGGGCCCGATTCTTAGTGGGGGGCATGCAGGAGGCGGCCAATCGATGTTCTCTCTCATCGATGTTTCTATCTTTCTCTTTCTCTCTAAAATCAATAAAGAAAAATATTTGGAAACCACAAATAACTCTCCCTACAAACTATCCCCCTCCCCTCCCTGTATCTGCCAGGGAGACACAAACCGATTCTCCACATTTAAACCTCTGAAACTTCAAGGACAATGCAGAAGCCAGTGTACATTTATGCTGTGGAACCACATGCTACTAGGATCATAATACAGACAAAGGAAAGCTTGAAACATGAATAGGCAGCACATTAAGTTAAAAAATTAAATTTAACTTCTAGAAGTGAATAAAATTATGATTGAAAATAAATATCAATGGAAAGGATAGAGAAACAGACTAGAGACACAACTGAAACATGAGTCATCAAATAAATGAGAGCTTGCTCACCAGAAAGCAACACAGTAAGGCAAAGAGGAAAAAAATTATATGAAATGGACATAAACACATATTGAGGATAAAATGAGTAAATCCAACGCTTTTCTAATGAAAATACCAGAAGTAGAGAACAAAGACTTGTGGAAAGAGACTGCTTGAAGACATAATATTGATGATTTTCCATAATTAAAAATGGCACGACTCTTCAAGTTATCATAGCATAGAAGAAATGACACCGCAGTAGCAAGGAGCAACCTGGTACCCAGATCTCAGTTTCTAATAGCATTCTCTCATGATAGAAACCAGGGCTCCTTGGAGAGATGGCTGATGACTGACTCCAGGACTAGGTCAGGAAATGTACAGATTGAGCCTGAGCAACTTACAACGCTATAAAATAAGAGTGTCCAGAAGAAACGCCACTATTGATGGAGTATGTCAAAGGGACACAAGAACCAACTTAAAGAGCTTCCCCTAGCCTAAGCTGGAGCAATTAGAGCAATAAAATAAAGTAGCATGAACCCTGTGTATAACGTAGAAGTGTGTAGTCAAGAACATCTTCACTGTAAAATCTGTTTCAAAGCAGAATGAAGCCAACTTTCAACTGGTGTCATGTTCAGGATGGTGACAGTTTGTTCCGATGCATATGAACTAGTCCTATATAGACCTTATGCTTTCATTGGATTAAATATTCATTTCTTATGGCTACATTATTTTTCAGGCCTTTTCTTTCTAGGATTCTTCAATCTATCATGCTTTAGTTTTAGGTGTTTAGGTCTCTGTTGACCTGTATTTTTTGGCTAAAATAAATAATTTAGTTTTTTTCATATGCCATATTCTGCCAACCAGGTTATCTCCAGCTTTCTAACATGATCACCACTGTTCTTGATATTCTTATATCATTGGCTATAGAATATGTGAGATTATCTTTTATTTCATATATTTGCCAACTTTATCAAATCTATAGAGTTGACTATTTTGACTGAATGAAGAAATTGAAACTGGCAAACACATATAAAACATTCTCAAATAGTCTATTTTTTTTTTCTACTTACCATGATGTTTTTGCTAACAACAGTCTGATTGATTATATTCTTGTCTTAAAGATCTACGCTTCTTGGAATTGTAGGTTTTCTAATATATCTTCTTAATATAAATCACATACCACAGAAATTCTAACAATTGCTTGGTTTACTGCAGGTCAAAGCACTGACTTGATTCCATGTCTTTGCTATTCTATATTGTTAGGGAAATAATCCTCATTTAGAGATTTCGTCTATTTTAGTCATCGTTTTAAAGAACTAAAGAAAACTATTATTTAGATTATGAGTGAAGACATTTCCTCTGTGGAGTACACATCCGGCTCCATGAGCTATGGCATTGAATCATGAAATAATCTCCAGCACATAGACTTGCATGCTAAATAATGTCTACACATTGCCCTGGGTAACTGTAAATTCTCACTAGTGGTACTTAAAATTATTTGGCAAAAAATCTAAAACAGTCAATAAATATGACCGTGAATTCTTCATCATCCTGATGCCCATAGTGGAAATATTTGCTGTTGTTTTAGATTTTTTTTTTTCTGTCTTCATATTTGGACTACTTGTTACTGGTAAATTATTTCTGCAGATTACTCAGGTTTTAGCTTTTGTGTGTGGGGATGACTCAAAGGCTATGGAAATGCACTTTTATCAAATCTAGGTAGCTTTACCATTTTTCTTTATGGAAATAGTGCCTAACCTTGAGTAACTTACCCCCACCTCGGGTACACCAGCTTGAACTTGTAGTCTATGTATCAAAGGAATTGCTGAGCTGTATTTAATTTGTTGAATTTGATAAAAGTATTTGACACCTTTAATGTATATCACTTTGAAGCTGTGAAGAATTATCATTAGACTTTCTATCAGTTCAAATGATATTCAAATATGTGACTTGCTTTGAAAATCCTGTCAATTCACTTTTCTTAGTTCTCTTTAGATGAAACCATTATAACTTCAATTATTATAACCAGCATATATTAAGCACAAACTATGTAGTAGATATGTTAGACCCAAGAGAATAAAGCAAAAACTCCTCCTGTTCCAGGGGCTTGGAGTCTGGAAGGACAGCTAGACATGTAAATCACCCTTATTTGAGGTGCAGAGTATTTGATATAAGAATAAAAGGGGTCTTCGGTGGCATGAAACAGGGAGTGTCCAACCCAGGACTTGTATGATAAAGAGAAAGACAAGGCAAGGGTAGAGAGAGAAGTTGTTCCCTTGAGTCTTGAAGTCAAGGAGACCACAGGAGCACACGGGGGAATGGCCAGTGCAGGTAAAGGAAGCAGCCTGTGAACACATGGGAAAATGAAGACCAAATGACACGCTCGTGAAACCTTCAGCTGCAGGAGCTTAGGGGAAGAGTTGCAGAAAAAATGGGAATGGAAAACACAGCTGGTACCAAAAATAAACAATTTGGAATGCCTTGATTAGAAGTTTGGGTTTATGCAATAACTAATGGTTAACCCTCGACTGATTAAAAGATATTTTGATAGTACAACCTATATAACCTGCTGAACAATGGAGGTAGGACTGAGAAAGAGGGGGTTGTCTAGACATCTACCTTGAACAGCTGTTGAAGACGCTAACTTATTTAATGGTGTGAAATCTATAAAGTGATTAAAAGAAGTATTCACATGGAATGGAAATACCACAAAATAATGCGTGTGTTTGTTATTTTCCCCCCAGCGGGAGAGATTTCTGAGATTTGCCCAGAAGCCACTGATTTTTTGTGCCACAACAAGAAGTGTGTTGCATCCCACCTTGTCTGTGACTATAAACCAGACTGCTCCGACGGGTCTGATGAAGCTCACTGTGGTAAGTATGTGTGTCTGTTCCAATGCTGCCAACTCAGCACAGACTTTCAATTTATTAGTAGAGAACCATATTGGCATTGATAACTGAGAAGAAATGTTCTTTTCATGCACTAGAGTAGATTTGGAATAGGCAAAACATTTTTTCAACTTCTCTGTGAAAACATCCAGATGGCAGTCCTCTCATTCTTTTTACCCACATAATAAAATCTGCAACGAATCTCTAGCAAATCATGTTACAAAAATTTCCCCTCATGTCATTGTATAGAATTGTCGTGAAAGGAGTCAGGATTAAAATTGTCAGACGCTGGCCCAGCTAGTGTGGCTCAGTGGTTGAGCATCGACCCTGCACCAAGAGGTCACGGGTTTGATTCTCAGTCAGGGCACCTGCCCAGGCTGTGGACCTGATCCCCAGAGGGGGGCATGCAGGAGGCGGCCAATCAATGTTCTCTCTCATCAGTGTTTCTATCTCTCTCTCCTTCTCCTTTGCTCTCTAAAATCAATAAAGAAAAAAATAAAATAAAAATTGTGAGACTCTGAACTAGCAGTCTACTTTTCTTCATTGATTTTCATTGCTGTTTCTATTCCTTTTCCTTAAAAATATATCAATTTTATAGATGAGGCTAAAAATTAGCCCTTGGAATAAATACTAGTTTAGTGACTGATGTTATCAATTACATTGCACTGGAAAAAGGGGTTTGGGCCACATATTTTTATTCAAGCTGTAATTCGAGTGACTTTTAAAAGTCATGTATAAAACAAGGTATGCATTTTTAAAAATATGAGCACATATCTAAAACCAAATATATTTTTTCATATATCTTACTGGCGAGCAGTCATACAGAACCTGGATACCATACAGGCTACCTGTTGCAGTTAGCATTTGCCGCATGACAAACTACCTCAAATTTAGTGACCTAAACAAATTTCCTTTTGCTTGTAATTTTTGGGTCAGTCATTCAAGAAGGATTCAGGTAGGCAGTTTGTCTCTGATCACATGGTTCAACCTGGTATGGCTGGCACTGGAGGATCATTTCAAGATGTCTTTGTCCTCTGCACATTTGGCACATTGATACTTTTTGGTTTCTCTGTCTGGCTCAACATGGAATCTCATCCTCCAGGGCAATCCACGTGGACTGGGCTTGATAACTTGTATGAGGTTCGCTTTTCCAAGTGAATGCTTCAGGAGCAAGTATTCCAAGAGCCTCGGGAAAATTAGCAAGAGTTATTATGAATTACCCACAGAAGTTCCAGAATGTCACTCCTAATGGCCATGCACATAAAAAGTGTAGCCTAGACTAAAACAGAGAATAGAAACAGACTCCACCTCTCAGTGGGAAAATGTCACTCATGCACAGGGAAGTTGTCCCATTCACAATGTTTACATTTTTATTTTTAGTCCAATGTCAGTTTTATTTCTCAGGGTCATATAGTGGTGATCCTTCTAAAGTGCTCATTTTCTCTTTGTAGAATTTATTATTTTTTTAATTGTGGTAAAATGTAGAAAACATAAATTTCGCATTTCTAACTGTACAGTTCAGAAACATCATGTACATTTGCATCATTGTGCCGCCAACACCACCATCTGTCTCCAGAACTTTTTTATCTTGAAAAAGTATTTCTCAATTGAACAATAACCCTCCAGTCTCCCCACACTCTGGCCCCCAGCAACCACCATTCTACTTTTTGTTTTTATGCGTTGAATAATTCTAGGTACCTCATCTAAGTGGAATCATACAGTATGTGGCTTTTTGTGAAAGGCTCATTTTACTTAGCATAATGTCCTCAACATTCATCACATATGTTAGCTTTAAATCAAAGTATAAAAGAAAGTGAAAATGATTGAAATTTTTAAAACTATGCTATGAATACTTCACTATTATATTCTTAATTTTTAAATAATTATGTTTTCTTTATAATATATTTTCAAATAAAGTTTCTAGTACATTGAATAATGTTATTTCTTTTTATAAATATATTTTTATTGATTTTTCAGAGAGAGAGAGGAAGTGAGAGAGAGAAACATCTATCAGCTGCCTCCTGCACGCCCCCTACTGGGGATTAAGCTCGAAATCCAGGCATGTACCCTGACAGGGAATTGAACCAGGAACCCTCAATCCATGGGACATGCTCAACCCACTGAGCCACACCGGCTGGACCTAATGTTATTTTTAACTTCTTTTAAGTGTACCAAAAGTACATTTTTAAAACTGAATTTAGAGAGAGGAAGGGGGAGAGAGAGAAAAAGAAAGAGACATCAATTGGTTGCCTCCCACACACTCCCTGACCAGGGATTAAACCTGCAACCTGGCTATGTGCCCTGTCCAGGAATTGAACCTGCCACCTTTTTTTTTATCCTCACCCAAGAACATTTTTTTCCATTTTTTGTTCAGATAGAGTGGGAGGGTGAGAGAGAAAGAGAGAGAGAGGGGAAGAGAGAGAGAGAAAGAGAGAGAGAGACATCGATGTGAAAGGGACACATTTAGTGGCTGCCACCTGCACGACCAATCAGTGCCGGGACAAACTACAACCGAGGTACGTGCCCTTAGTGGGAACCAAACCCGGGTCTCTCTGGACCACAGGCCGACGTTCTAACCGCTGAGCCAAACCGGCCAGGGCTGAGCCTGCCACCTTTTGCTGTATGGGACGTCACTCCAACCAACTGAGCCACAGCAGCCAGTACCAAAAATGCATTTTTCAATACTAACTAAGAAATTGATTTTAGTCGAGTTCTAAAACAATGCTCTAAAACACTTGTAAAATCACCATTTTCCTTACAAGACATAACAAATAGAGCATTTGATAATCACTAGTGTAACATTACAAACTAGGCCAATTTATAAAGGTTTTAAAGAAAAAATAATTGAAATATGATGGCATTGCCCTACATATCCAGTGGGGGAAGGAGAGCTGTCAAAGTTATTACAGACAGTAAAAGTGTCTTCCTCTCACATAAAGTGTACATGTATTGAAAATATTCATGAAAAATCATACTTTTTCATTTATTCCTATTCTGAGTATGGGCTAAGAATAACTTTCTAAATATGAGATATATAAAAAAGAACAAGACATTGTTTTAGGCTTCAAAAATTTACTTTGTGCTGTGAGGCAAAAAACTAGGAAGAAAAATGTATTAAATCATTAGTAAATAAAAGGTTTACTGGTTACTTTTAAGGTATAACAAGTTCTATCAAGAATAAAGTTTCAGCCCAGCGGGTGTGGCTCAGTGGATTGAGTGTTGACCCGTGCACCAAGAGGTCACCAGTTCGATTCCCAGTCAGGGCACATGCCCAGGTTGTGAGCCCGATCCCCAGTGGGGGGCATGCAGGAGGCGGCCAGTCAATGTTCTCTCTCATCAATGTTTCTATCTCTCTCTCCTTCTCCCTTCCTCTCTTTGTAAAATCAATAAAAAAAACAAAATTTTTGAAAGAATAAGGTTTCAGCCCTGGCCAGTTTGGCTCAGTGGTTAGAGCGTCAGCCCACAGACCAGTGAGTCATGGGTTCAATTCCGGTCAAGGGTACATACCTTGGTTGTGGTTTATCCCTGGCCCTGGTTGGGGTTGTGCAAGTGGCAGCCAGTCAATATGTCTCTCTCACATCAATTTTTTTTTCTCTCTCTGCCTCTCTCTCCCTCCTTCCCACTCTATCTGAAGATAAATAGAAAAATATCCTTGGGTGAGGATTAAAAATAAATAAATAAATAAGGTTCCACAACTTATTTGGAGAGTCCATATGAAGAATAGTGTGTGTGTGTGTGTGTGTGTGTACATCTGTATATGCAATAGAGAAATATGCTTACAAAATGTTGGAAAGCGTTATAGGAATTTAGGTTTTTCAAATGTGAATGCTGCCCATGTTCTTTTTGCTTTCCTCATTTTTCCTCTCAGACTGCCTTATGTGCTTTTTTCCCCACAGTTATTTGAGGTATTGGTGTGAAAACACACACTGGCAGTTTTGCTTTTCCAAAACTGAAGTCAATTACATACTTATCTCTGTTAGTGTTATCCACAACTTCGATGGACAACTGCAAGAAATAGTTGAATTTATTAATGTGAAAGTAATTTGTTGACAAATTAGTCACTTTTCTTACCATCCCTTGACAGACTGTTCATATCCAAAAAGAGCACTACACAACACAGAAATACACAGGTGACTTATTGGTTCTACAAATTGACTTCATTAATGTTTAATATTGATGGTCTTTTAGATATATTCTCTCATGTAAATCATCAGGGCTAATTCCTGAAGTCAGATCATCTATGTGCATAATAGAATAAATTACATTTCAAAATGGCCTTTGAAGAAATATAAGAAAGAATTGACCTTTGGGGTTATTAAACTAAAGTCTTCATTTTGATTTTGACCCTCATTTGTTGGGCAATTATTTAAATTTTCAAAGACCCACTTTCCTCATCTGTTTAGTAGATAAAATAACATCCATCCTATTGAGTGCTTTGAGAATTAAATGAAATAACAAAAATAGTATACTTATTCAGTCTACTAGAATTAATAATCTTAGCTTCTTCCATATCATCATTTTTACATTGTCTTGAAATTTGTCAGTCGTGTCTTATTTACATGCCTGTTATACCTGTCAGAAAATAAATGCAATTACTCCTCATGACTAAGTTTTTACTGTAGGTTATCAGAAAAGATAACAGTTTCTTTTGTATCTTTCTCTCCTGTTGCAAAAATGTATGGTTAATAAGTGATATCACCCATCTGGTGTGGCTCAGTGGAATGAGCCTCATCCCATGGACTGAGAGGTCCTGGTTCGATTCCCAGTCAGGGCACATGCCGGGTTGCTGGTTTGATCTCCGGAGGGGGGTGAGCAAGAGGCAGCAGATTGGTGTTTCTCTCTCACATTGATGTTTCTATCTCTCTTTCTTCCTCTCTCTCTGAAAAATCAATAAAAGCATAGTTAAAAATTAAGTGGGATTGATTCTTTAAAACAAATAACAACAGTTAAGTCAGAAAATGTTCTCTCTTCTTTCATGGAAGAAA